ACAGTCCAGACAAACAAATCCAGAAGGGGCAAGTTACAAACAGGCAACAGGTCAGAACACATGGAGCAGGAGCCAGGTGAAGAATCAGGTCCAGGAAACAGGGAAATAGGAAGGGATAACAGGTATCTCTGCAACTAGTCAAATACCGTAAATTAGCAACATGGCCTCATTTTGTTAATAGAAAACATTGCATTTATGTTTGTTTTGTGATTGTGAAGTATTTGCTGTTGCAAATTTGTGATATATATAAATGTAATTTTTTTGGATTCAGGGTTGGACTGGGTGGTAAATCTGAGCCAAGCAGTCACTTTTTGCCCCAAGAACCTCAAACAGGTGTTTCTGGCTACAGATCCGTACCAGCTGAGGTTTATAGACTTATAAAAATCTTATAATAGTAATAAATGTTCTGTTTGACATCCTCTGGTGCGAGGTTGGTGGGATCGGCGTCTTCTCATGTAGTAGAATGCTATGAAAGTTTCCACCTAGAAGTAAGGGTGCCAACTCAGACAGTACCGACCCTCTTCACATGCTTTAGTGTAGAAATGGCAACATTCATATGTGTCAAACAGCCGCTCTTATTGTTTTCTATATGAACTAACAAACCGTCACCTGCCACAGTGACCAACAGTCAATTTAACTGTCATGACTCACCAGAGTTAAATTCCATTTCAGGTGCTTTCTTTCAGTTGGCACATCCAGGCTTTTATACTTTCACTTATTTTTTGTCAGGTGATACATCATTTCACTGTGATACACAGACTAAACTCAGCATGTAGGTATGAAAGTATGTGAAACCACACTAGCAATTTTATAAAAAATATAACGTGAATAAAGACAGAATTACTTGCCGAAGTATACATAATACAGATTCAACTGTGCCGAATGACAACCCACACACATAAGTGTTAATTATGACTTCTGTATGACATCATGTGAATGTCATACAGAAGTCATACATACAAAGGAATAAAAATTTTAAAGTTAAGAGCCAGAAACAGTCACACCAGAAATGCAACTCATTCATTCTCATTTAGTAATGTTAAAGTGTTTTAGGTAAAGTTCTGCCAGAGAGACAAAGCTGTGGTTGACAGCAGCCTGTTTAAGTCCCCCCTCGTCTGCCTCGTGTGTCAGGAAGAGTGGATCTTCTCAGGTTACATGTGTTACATGATATCACTGCTGCAGGGGGAGTTTTCAGGTGAAGGCAAGGGGTGGGGTAGGTATAGGATGATGAGACAGAGCAGGTTCAGTGGGCTGAGAAGGTCCCCCCAAGGCGGGGGAGGAGAGTTGTTAATGCACATGTTTGAGTGTCTGTGCCTTTGTATTACTTAAATTATGGGGACCGAACCCTGTTAACACACTTACATTGTGAATTTTAGGATGGCAACATGGTTTAAGGTTAGGATCAGGGTTAGGTGTTAGGAAAGTAGTGTTATGGTTAAGGTTAGGATAAGTCTACAGGAAATGAATGTAAGTCAATGTAAAGTCCAAAGGAATGAAAACACAGCGTGTGTGTGATCTGTTATCTGATCTAGGTCAGCTGCCTGTCACCATGTCAGTGTGTTGTTCAAACTTTGGAGATGCTTGTGATTGTGGTTTTGAATGCTTTGTCAATGTTAATCTGACATTATGAGTCTAAAGAATGGGTTTATGTTTGCTGCGTCCATAAGAAAACTCCCAATCACCACACAGGGTGTTGCTGCTGATAGTCTTTACTTTGTAGAAAATAATACAAATATTATTTGTAAGATAGAAAGACTCTGCAGACTTAAAGTGCCAAGTCTCACATCAGCTTACTCTCTCTCTGCATGCACCACTGTGTGCAAGCATCACATTGCTATTATGCTTTTACATGTAATTTATTATTATTCCCACCTGCCAGTGCTGCACCAATTCCTTTGACCCCTTTGACCCTCTTGAGGGATGTCACAGTTAAACTGGTCTTTTCGGTAGTCGACGTTTCTCCATTTCACAGGCATAAACAAAAGTTTTACACACCTTTTAAACAAACATGTTTGACATGGTGTTAAATCTGCCAAAATCAAATGCTGACTTTTAATGGGTATAAACAAAAAACAACTGGGTGTTGTGCATACCTGTCAGTTTCCCCTGCAGGTTAAGTGCAGCAGCTGCAGACGCTGGGAACATGCCTGCAGCAGAATACCACACGACTACACCCACATGGTACAAAAACGCTCTCTAGACAAACTATTAAAACCAAATATTGAACTTGTTCCAGGACACCTTAATGAGTTCAGTGTAGCTGCCCCAGCCTGAGCCTCACATGGGATCATGGCTGTTACAGTACGACATAGAGTGGCATATCTGCACTGATGATTATTCAGTGATAAACTTCTGCTTTCCCAAAAGTGAGACAGAAGTCAAACTTTTAAAACTCAGAAAGTATATACAGTAGTGTTCAAAAGGCACTTTGGATGTTTAGACTCTAATCCATCACACAGCACCATGTAATCTTTCGCATTCTGGAACATGACACCGAGCCCAGACACACAGCCACAGTCGTAGAGAACTATGCTCAGAGACAAGAAACACAAGAGGTCCTGCAGCAGATGGTCCTACCCCCATAGGACCCTGATCTCAGCATATGGAAGTCATTCATGAAGATAAAGAAGTCACTAAGTCACTGAGGCAGACTAAGTGCACTGAAAATCTGCAGCAACTTCTCCAAGAAGCTTGAACAATCTACCTGCCAAAAGCCTTGAAAAACCTTGTGCCAGGGGCTGCAGAGGATAAGCACTGTCATGGTTCATTCATTATCTATTTACAGTAGTTACCAGTTCCTTGCATGCCTTCGCCGTCTCCGCTAAGTGTCTTGTTATTTTAGACCCTGCCACACCCATTTGTCACTGAACTGTGTATGGGGTTCTGTGCTTTTCTGACACAATGCACACCTTCCAGCTATAGCATCACCTTGTGTGGTCCTGACTGTCAGACAGGCTGAAGAGTTGACCTGTTGGGAAGAAGGTTTGAAATGGAAAAGACAAAAACATCTAAGCAGAAACAAGCTTATAAATAGACACAAAACAGCCTATAAACAACCCACTGTGCATGTTCTCTTCATTGCAGCACGTTCAAAACCATGTCCCTTAACCATCTCTGAAAACTACACTGAAGCTGGGTTAGAAAAAATGGGCATTAGGTGGGACACATTTCAGCGCCAAGTGTAGTTATTAGACAAACACTTTAACTTGTTTTAATGAGCATTTGAAATTTGTGCATTTCCAAAATCTAGACAAATTTGAAATCAGTGTTTGGTGTGACAACTGATGTGTGGTTACAGCGACACATTATGAAGTGAGACGCGGTGAATAAACAATGATGACCAGGAAGCGTATGACTTGTTGCTCGAGATTCTCTTGAGAAGATGAACACATCAGATGTGGTGTGTGGAGCGATGAGGAGACTCTAACCGTCCTCACGTTAATCCATGAAACATGACTTGAAATGTCATAGTTCTACTGTGTGCTCCCTATGGTGTTCCATCATTTGAGCGTCGACTGTTCTCTTGAACCAGCTGTTTATCTCCGTCAACCAGTCAACTCATATTCAACAGGAGCTGATAAAAACAAGTATTCATTCACATTTAATTAACTTTAAAACACATATATTTTGGGATAATCAGTCAAATTTGAGCTATATTTGGAGGTACACTAATTTGGAACAATTTGACAATTAATTAATCATTAAATAATTTATTAAGCATAATGGGCAATAGTTGCTCCTTTCAGTAGCCAATGTGAAGATTTGCTTTTTTAATGTTTTATATCTTTTATATTTTCATTCTGTATTGTTCAAACATAATGATATGTTGATGGGAAAATGATAAATATTTGCATATTAATCGATAATTCAATCAATTTGTTGTTGCAGCCCAGATTTGCTCATCCTCGCCTGTGGGAAGTTGGAGCCGATCCCAACATACAGTGGGTTGGATTGGCAGCCGATCAAAGGCCCCGCCACAGAAACTCTGACGTCTTTCCCTTTCTGATACTGATCTGATTCAGTGTTGCGTCTTCTTGGCAAATCCTGCACGCAGAAATGATTTAAGCATTTAAAATTAATGTGGTCATAATTTAGCTTTGTTAGAATGCCTCACAGCACTTTTAAGTACAAAAGGCTCTTTTAAACTCGGAGGTTTTTATTAATCCTCCATGCAAAGTGAGCATTTCCAGATTTTTACTTCTCCGGCACTTGACTTTTATACCTATCCTGGATCACTTTAGAGGTCTTTACAAAGTATAATTATATCCTTTACGGTCTCGCTTCTTGTCAGCTTTGTTTACTCAAGACAAGGCTGATCTTAATCAAACAAGTAGTTTACTCTTTCAACCAGTTTGGTTCCTGCTTTGTAAAGCAATCAGCAACAGTTACCTGACACTCATAAACCAATAATAACAGACTGGTCATTTTGATCAGGGTCACTCTTCTGTAGCCACTGGGTGATTCGATGTGCTTTTTCATTCTGGGTGTAAACCTTAAGTCTGTGGTTGAACTTGAATGTGATTCAGGTCTGAACTTGCCCTGCAGCACTTCTTGTGCTCTAATCTTTTAACGCTTTTCATGTGTATTGAGAAATGTGAAATAGAGGAGAGAAAGGTGGAGGAGAGGCAGCGGCCGCCGAGCGGCCCTGACATATACATGTTGATCCTACATGCAATTTAGCAGGTGAAGGTACAAATGATGGGTGGATTTGACATTTCTCAGACACACCCACAGACACACCCACACCCCATTAACTCTTCTGCTGTATATGAGTTACACAAGGACACTTGTCTCCTCCCAGGCTTGGCATGAGCACTCTATCCTCCTGCTCCTCCTCCTCCTCCGCCCCCCAAATCATCTAACAGTATAAAAAAAACCCAGCTGCTCTCTGAGTGTCTACCTTCACCTCTCCAGCTGAGGCTGAAAGACAATCTCCTTAACCTTTGACACCAAACACGATGATACAGAGTGGCAGATCTATGAGGTTTAGTCAGGGTGGTGGTGGAGCCTATGTTGGCAGCAGCAGATCTATGCATGGCGGTGCTGGAGGCTCTTCTGTGAGAATCTCTACTGCTGGCTCCTCCATGTATGGTGGTGGTGGTGGTGGTGGTGGCGGCTATGGTTTCAGCTTCGGTGGTGGAGCAGGTGGGGCAGGCGGTATGGGGTTTGGTGGTGGCGCAGATATAGACATTTCCACCAATGAGAAGGCCACCATGCAGAATCTGAACGACCGCCTGGCTGCCTACCTGGAGAAGGTCCGCACGCTGGAGAACCTCAATAGCAAGCTGGAGCTGCAGATCCGAGAGTTCCTAGAAAGCAAGGCCTCTCCTTCTGCCAGAGACTACAGTGCCTACTACGCTACCATCACTGAGCTGCAGGGGAAGGTAGGCTCCCGTCTGACACATGGATGTTTGTTCATGTGACCTATTTTCTATACTTTATTGTACACATTATTGCACTTGCTCTACCTGCCAGTATAAAGACATCATCTCTCAGTCATGTTCATCTTCAGAAAAGGTTCTGTATATTTTCTTGAGCCACAAATATTCATGAAACTCTTAAATTGAAGTGACAGTGTGAAAAGTGACAACATTAATATTGTTTAAGAGATAATAATAGTTTGCTAGTATAACCTCAGGTAGATGTATATCACACTGTGAGTAAAGTTCATGTAAAGAAGTATAATAATGTAAATGAATAACTAAACCAGTGAGAAGACATACTTCAGATCAAATCTCATTTCACATCATACACATTCCAAAGCAGGAGAGAAAGGGAGATTTACTGCCAAGCATGACATAACAGTAATTAACTTTTCACAGCACTGACTGACAGCTGACATTTTCTCTCAGTATGCAAATTAAGAAGCCATAGTGACCGAGCTTAGCTTTCTTCACCTGTAGCTGCCTGAAGACACCATAAGAGGAGTGTTTTATTTTTATTATACTTTAATTGACAGGGGTGGAGATCAGGGCTGTGGTGTTTTTAATAAACTCAGAATAACTTGGCATTGTTTTCTATGTTCGGTTGCTGGTTTCTCTTGACAGGCATCAGGCCTGAGTTGTAATTATGAGAGTGCAAAACTAAATCCATTACTGATAAATGCAAATCTAAGATCAGCTCCTTTAATCACAGCAGCTTCAACTTCTATTCTTACTTTGTGTGTGCATGTATGCTGCAGTAAACACATGTCCTATGGGAAGAATCAGAAACCAAAAGGGAGAAATTTATGGTATTATATGTTTGGGTTTCATGATGGCGCCCTCTATCTTTGCATTCATTTGCAACAATAACATGCTTGTATATTAGTAACACATCCTTAAAACACTGCTGACAAAGATACAACATAAAAACCCAACAGCATTTCTTTCCTCTTTTATCTTCCAGATTCAGCAGGCGACCACAGTCAATGGCGGCATCTACCTTCAAATTGACAATGCCAAGCTGGCTGCTGATGACTTCAGGGTCAAGTAAGGGAATTCATTTATTATTGATGGTAACAAATAAAGCTTCAAGGACCCAGGCAGGATTTAAACCAGCAACATTCTGAGACAATTAACTTCATCTCAGTAAAGCCACCATGATCGAAGTGAAACCCATGCTAGGGCCGTCAGTTTTTATTCAAAATTTAAATATTTGAGAACTGACCAATAGAATCACAGAGAACTCTTTTATTCACAACACTCTTAGTATATAGGACTGAATCATATTCATTAAATAGTTGAGTTAACACTCAATATCACAGTGACACAGCTAAGTGTCCCTGAGCGAGACACTGAACCCCGAATTGCTCCCGGTGGCTTGATTAGCGCCGTTGTGTGGCAGCTGTCGTCATCGGTGTGTGAATGTGTGCGTGAATGGTAGTATGATCTCCCTGTAAGGCGCTTTGGCCAGTGCAAAAAAGCGCTATATAAATACAGCCCATTTACCATTACTTTTATCTCATGTTCTCCTTGAAAAGTAGACCTCTTTGCGTGACCAAATGAAATGGTCCCCAATCGTTTTTTCTTTTTATTTAATGCTTTTCCAAAACTAAGACAGCCAGCATAGGCACAAAACTTCACACACCTCAAGTGAGTCGTTTCCAATGATTCGTCAGGTACCAACATATAACCTGTCATATCCCTCGTTTGAGTAACAGCAAGAATTTATGAGTTTATAGTCTGAACCAGGCATTTGTTTGAACTTTACTTTTTTTTTTAAATTATCCTCAATCCATCTACTTTGTTGCACTTCAACATACAAGTTTGCATAGTCACTTTAACAAATTTGTCTAAATAGACAAACTGTTCATTTGAATAAACTGGGTGAACTGCCATGCCAGCAATCAACCTGAGCTAATATTTTATTTATTGAAACTGTGTGCAATAGTAAACCCAGTGTTCCAAATACTAAAAACACCTTGTGGCTCTTAGAAGAACTGTCATTTCAGGCTGTAGGCAGTGTTTACATTTAACCTTTGTGCAGGTATGAGAGTGAGCTGTCCATGCGTCAGTCGGTGGAGGCTGACATTTCTGGGTTGAAGAGGCTCTTCGATGAATTGACGTTGTCCAGGAGTGACCTGGAGTTGCAAATCGAGGGTCTGAAGGACGAGCTGCTCTTCCTCAAGAAGAATCACGAGGAGGTCAGTGAGCAATAAAACAGATAATTAAACAAAAATAGATTTACACAAAAAAATGTAGGGTCAATAAATCAAGTTTCCAAAGAACTAAAAACAATGTTTCATTGGATCTTTTCTGGAGTAAGTTTGCTGCAATCAGATGGAGGTTCCTCACCTTTCATGTGTCTGTAGGAGATGATGGGGATGAGAGATCAGATGAGTGGTCAGGTGAACGTGGAGGTGGACGCTGCTCCTCAGGAGGACCTCACTAAGGTCATGAATGATCTCAGAGAGCAGTACGAAGCTGCTGCTGCCAAAAACCGCAGCGAACTAGAGGCCTGGTTCCATAAACAGGTAAGGATGGCTCTAGAAACTTCACTGTCAGTGACTTTAGTTCACAATAAAATGTCAACACCTATTGGATGGATTGTCATGAATTGCGGTTCAGATATTCAAGTTCCTCTCAGGATAAATTCTGACGTTTCATTTTAGTGCCATCATGAGGTCAACATATTAACAGTTTGATGACATTCACATCAAACTGGCTGCAAGAATATTGCTGTGGGAGAAGAAATCAAAATTTGAAATGGAAAAATATACACCACATTTGATTAATTAGACAAAATACAGTTAAACTACTTTTAATCACCTCTGTGCAGCTATACCACAAATCAAAGAGGACACTATCAGAAAGAATAAAACAAATGATTTGCTGCCCTTGCATTATAGAAGTTATTTTAATGTGTTATTTTGTGTGCCTGATTTATTTTTGATTTGAATAACCACATAAATGGTGGGCGCTTGTGATGATTGTAATGTTTCAAATGTATACCCCAAAATATAACTGAAAACACTGGAATGTACCGTGGTTAGGGTCTCTGCTATATATGAAGATAGTCAGCATGGCAGCTCCTAGAAGGGAGAGTATCTCCAACTTTCAGAGAGATGTATGGGAGTAAAAAGTATGAATTAGTAGTGGTGAGTTACTTGACACCCCAGGATTACTGAAAGAATATTTCCACGTAGATTTCCTGTCTGCAGGTAAACTTGCTGTCACTTTGCTGTCATTCTTTTTTCCACAGACAGAATCAATAAACAAAGAAGTTGCTGCCACCACAGAAACCCTCTCTACGTCCAAAACAGAGATCACAGATCTCAAACGCACACTGCAGTCTCTTGAGATTGAGCTACAGTCACAGCTCAGCATGGTAAACATCACATCGCGTCACATGACAAACAATGCTTTCGTGTCCAGTGTTTCTCTGAGCTGATAAACAAATTGTTTGTCTCCTACAGAAAGAGGGTTTGGAGGCCACCCTGGCTGACACTCAGAACCAGTATGCCCAGAAGATAGCGAATTTCCAGAACAAGGTGTGCATGCTGGAGGAGCAGCTGATGCATCTGAAGTCCGACATGGAGAGACAGTCCCAGGAGTATGAGATGCTGTTGGACATCAAGACCAGACTGGAGATGGAGATTGAGGAGTACAGAAGGTTGCTGGAAGGAGAAGGTGGCGGGTGAGAAATCTTTACCTGTTTGAGATTTAAAGGGAAATTTACAGGATGCTACAAAACATCAGATAAAAGGGAATAAAAGGTTCTTATTCGGTTTTGGTTACTTTCTAAAACCCCAAACAATTTATTTCCCATGAAGCTTTAAATGTTTTGTCTGAATTTTATAATAGGAAAACTATACTGTATGTAAAAATGATCTAACATCATGATATCCTTACTTTTAATTAGCTTTTTTTTTTTAAATAAACTAAATTAACAGAGCGAACAAATATTTTCAAGCAAATTATTCCAGTCACAAGGAGCTTACAACATATAAGACTTTTACTAATTTATTCAGAGACAAAGGAAATCATAACACTAAACTGGTCAGAAGGTCTCACTGAGATATTATATGGGACACTGAACTAAACAAAATCTAAACATTGTTAAATAAATAATCTGTCTGTTCTGCTTGTTGTGTCCTGCAATTCCTTCGACTCCTCCTGCTCCACCTCTACTACATCCTTCTCTGCATCTACCAAATCCTTTTCTGGCTCCCGCTGGTTCTAATACTTCAAGCTTTGGGTCCAGCGGCCGCTCCAGCACGGCCACCTGCTCTGCATACACCGCCACCTCAAGCTCCATCTCCGGTACTCGCTCCGGCATGGGCAGTGGCTCTGGCACGGCCACCTGCTCTGCAGCCACCGTGACCTCGAGCTCCATCTCTGGCACCCGCTCTGGCACTGGCAGTGGATCCGGCACTGGCAGTGGATCCGGCCCTGGCCGTGGCACTG